GGCCCGAGGCACATGCGCGGACGAGCCGGGGCCAGAGGACGCAGCGAAAGCAAAAGAGAAAGAGGTGACCACGACATCCGGGGAGATGCCATGGCCCCAGCGATGAGATCCCCCCGCCCCCCCGGACATCACCTGCCTCTTGGGCCGACCCCGGTGAAGGGGGGGGGAAGGTCGGGAGCGGCCAAGAGGGGGGTGGCCAAGAGGGGGGGGTGCAAATCATGACCGGCGGCATGTGCGCGGCCCAGCGGGGGGACCAGGGACGTAATGAAATAAGAAGAGGCGCCATGAGATCTGGGGAAATATCATGGCCCCCGCCATGATATCCACCCCCCCCTAGTCATCACCCCCCTCTTTTCCGCCCCCGAGAAGGGGTCGGCACCCCAGGCAAGCGCGAACTCTGGTGCGCAGCTTGCCCTCGAGACCCGCATGGGGCAGACGAGGTCGTGCAGGAAGTGCTGGGAGCCGGGGCGAGCTTGGAGCGTACAGTCGAAAACTCGAATAAGGGCGCGCGGTGAGGACGCAAGGCCCTTGGAAGCCGAAGTTGGGATTTTGGGGGGCGGCGGACGACGAGAACCCCAAGGGCACCCTGACAAGCGGGCAGGCGAAAGAGGCCAAGGACGAGCCGCAAGAGCAAGGAAGAGCAAGGACGCAGGGGTACCCTGAGCAAAGCCGCGCGTCCTTCTTAAGGTTTTTGAGCGTATCATTCTCATGGACTCTGGCTCTTCGGACCGATGCCGCAAGGCCACCGCGGAGGAGGGAGACGCGGCGGCTCGCGAAGGCCCCTTTGACGCGCGGGGCGGGCCTGCCGCCGTGCCTCCTGGCGTGCTGCTTCTCCGGCAGCCCTCTCCCTCCGGCGAGCGGCTGTCCCTCCACCGGCTGCTGTCCCCCGAGTTTGAAGGGGCCCCAGGACACACAAATAAATACACACAAATAAAATCATTCCCCATATTTTCCTATATTTTCTAGGTTTCTGTCTTCCCCCCCACTTCCCATATTTTCCCATATTTTCTGGGGAATCGAAGATTAATTGTGTCTGTGTGTTTTTTCCTCTCCTGAGCGTTGTGTGGGTTGCCTTGCACTTTGGGGGCTCTCGGCTCCCTCGCCCAGTCATCGGCGGGGCCCGCCGAGAATCTGCTCCACCCCCCTCGCGGCCGCGACGCCCGGTGGGCGGTGGCAGGCGTGCCGTGCCCTGGCCGGGTCCGCCGAGGGCTCGCCGCGTTCGCGCGCCGTGCCGCCTCGTGGGCGCCCATGGCGTACACACACACACACAGTGCACAGCATGGCTCTCACCGCACAGCTTGCGGCGCATGGCTTGCACAGTGTACACCCTGAGAAATGCTTAAGGAATCATGGGTTAAGAAATTCACAGTCTCAGAACTTGAATAAAAACCTAAAGTTCCCATTCAAATCTTAGGATTTACATTGAAGCATTAAGAATAATCGAGACTCTGGCCGAAAATTTAAGTTTTCTTAAGCATCGCCTAAGGTGTAGCTCACGCCATCTGAGCCACAGCGCACAGCTTGCACACCGCAGCTCGCCGTGGCACCGCCCACGCAGCGCGGCTTCCACCGCGCGGCTCTCACCGCACAGTCTGCACAGCACTGCTTGCACCCCACAACTTCTTTAGGGGACAGAAAATGGCATAAACATAAAAACTCGGAAGTCCGCGCGGATTTCTCGGATCGGCGCTGGGGCCCCCCGGCGGCGCCTCCGGCGCCGCCCCTGGCGCGCTCCGCGCGCCAGGAAGGGGGGTCCAGCGCCGATCCGAGAAATCCGCGCGGCCCTCCGAGTTTTTACGCTTATGCCACTTTTTGTTCCCCTATTATTCTGCACAGCCTTCCCCTCCACGGTACAGCACCTCACTGATCAATGGGAGCCCACACCGGCCAACATCTCCGCCACACGCCTTCTTCTGCAGGGGCACACCGGCTCCTGGTGCCCGAGGCCGCCGGCGCGGCGCCTCACGGCGGAGGCTCTCCACGCCCGAGGCCTCCTCCCGCTCTCCTCCCTCCGCCTCCGCGGCGGCCCTCTCTTCTTCCTTTCGCTTGCTGTGTGTGTGTGTGTGTGTCACCCCTAACCAAGGGGCGCTCGGGAGGTCCAGAGGCCTACACGGGCACAGTGTATGTATGTAGGAGCATCGCCCTGCCGGCCATCGCACTGTCAAGGGCGGTGCTCGGGAGCGTCCAGGCTGCAGGGCGGAGCCTGGACTGGATATTGTACGTGTGGAAGGCAATGATTACGCGCTCCAGGCGGTCGGAAGAAGTAGGTAGAAGTATGAAGGAAGGCGTTGGCAGTAGATGGGGTGCCCGCCCGCCCCCCGAAGAGGGCGGAAAAGGTGAAGCCACTCGACCATTGACGTAGGAAGGCGACTAAAGTAGATTAGCACCTGGAAATCAAAAACTACATACTTTCAACGACCGATGGGTAGTCCCAGCGCGGCCCGTCAGCTACCAGAACGCGACGTGCGCTCGCCCTTGCCAGTGATTGCAAAAAGACTTTCCTACCCATCAAAGGTCGCGCTCCCTGACGGGTGGCCCAGGCTCTTGCGGGGGGCCTGGGAGCGAGGGTGGAGAGGGCTGGAGAGGGCTCGGACTCTACGGGCTCGCTGCCCGCGGCGACATCCCCTGGGAAGTGCACCTCGATTCCGCCGCCCTCCTCTGGCGAGAGGCAACGTCAGGGGGGGATAGGCTCAAGTGGGGATGCATCGACCCCCGCCCACGCATCGCCGCTAGGGGCCCGGTAGTCCGCCTCGCGCAGGACCATGAGGATTCACGATCGAGGGCCCGTCGAGGACTCATCCTCCCCAGTCGAGGGCTCATGAGTCACCGGTTCCAGGTCGACGCATCCTCCCCCTGAGTCGACCACACGCAGGAGCGACACCGGGTAAGAGTGACCGTCGACGCGCGGATCCCAGACCCCCGACGTCATGATTTTTTCATGACGTCGACCCCCAGAGGTCTGGACCCATTCCCCGGGACCGGTTTTTCGTCCCGAGTCGTTTTTTGACGGTCCCGAGGGCCGGTAAGGGCCCCCAGAGTCCAAAAACAATGAAAAACCTCCCGTCGCGATTTTTTCATGACTCGAGGGGGTCTGGGATCCGCGCAGGACGCGGGGTGGGCCAAACCTGGGCGCGCAGGCCGCTGCTGCCGCTTCGCGTTCAACGCGATCGGGGGGCCCCACTGCGCCCGCACCACGGGCCACTCCGGCGAAGGGCCACTCTGTGCGTGTAGCCGAGCTATCGACCCAGACCTCCTCGAGTCACGAAAAAATCACGACGGGAGGTTTTTCCCTATTTTCGGCCTCCGGGGGCCCTCACCGGGCCTCGGGAGCGTCAAAAAACGACTCAGGACGAAAAACCGGTCATAGGGAAAGGGTCTGGACCTCTGGGTGGCGCGTCATGAAAAAATCATGACGTCGGGGGTCTGGGGAGGGCCCATCGCCGACCTATCGACGATGCACCGCCGCTTCCAGGTCGACAGGAAGCCCCCCCGCCTGAGCCAGCCCCCCCTGCTACTGCTTCCTCCCGCTGGCTCGAGCAGGGACCGACCGTCCCGGCATTCCGATAAGCCTACGGCGACATGTTCCTAGGACCCCAAGGTGTTCTAAGAACAGAGACAAGGCTTCAGAACATAAGCCCGACGTGTCAAAACAGGACTGTCCCGGCCAGAAGTGTTCTAAGAACGGTTCTTCGGAACCACAGAAGGTTCTCAGAACATTGCTTGGTAGGCCCCTGGGCACGCCAGCACGCTTCGCCACTGCTCGATCACTGGCGGAGCTGCCCCGACTTTGTCTCGGGCGAGGGCGAGGTGCCAACCGAGCTCGGCCCCGAGGGGGCGGAGCCCGGAGCGCCCCTGGGCGGCTGGGGGCGCGACGACGACGACGACGACGACGACGGCGACGGCGACGACGACGACGACGACGGCGACGGCGACGGCGACGGCGACGGCGACGACGACGACGACGACGACGACGACGACCGTGCGAGGCGGGGATTGTTTATCCGTAGCGACCACCTTGGGAACTGGCTCCTCGGGGACCTCGGCAGGCGGTGGCCGCCGGAGGGCCCTCTCTCTCTCTCTCTCTCTCTCCCTCCTCGGCTACACGCGAGAGCGACCCCAGGCAAGGGCAACCTTCGGTGCGCGGGCAGGGGGGGCGCAACGTGCCCCAAGCCAAGCGCGCCCGCGGCCACTGCCGCACCGCGCAGGGCCCCGGTGGGGTCGCGCCCGAGGTCACTCTGGCGAAGGGTCCGTCTCACGCGTACGGCAGGTTCGTGTCGTGCCGACCCCAGCGTTGGTTTTTGACACCGCAGGGATCGCTCAACCTTGAACGATCGGCCGTTTCCGCAACGTCCAATCGTTCAACATCGACCGATTCTAGGCCGCCGCCGGCGTTCAACCTTGAACGCCCGCGCTGGGGTCGCCGCCGGTCGACACGACGCAAACCTACCGTAGTCGAGCTCAACACGTGTCTAGATCTATCCACGCCCGCCGCCTGCCGAGGCCCCGGAAGCTCCATGCCCCAGGCGGGGGTCGCGGACGAATCCCCGCCTCGGACCCCGGGGCTCGGTCTCTCCATGTTCACGTTGATCATGTCCACCTCCCTGGACGACCGCGGCAGGGACTGGCGCTCGCTCGTCACGGTGGCCCTGGGCATCATGGCCTTGCTGACGCTGCCCCTGCGCTCCTCGCCTCCACGCCGCGCTCCTGCCGGTGCTGGCCCCGCGGGCTCGGTCCGCTGCGGGGCGGCGACCATCTCCACTTCTGGGGCGCCGGGTCCCTGCTTGGCGGGCCGAAGGTCCCAGGGGCCACCTCTAGGTCGGGCATGTCCTCCTACAGGCCGCTTGTGGAAGAAAACTTAGAGCATAGTCAAAGATATCCAGAAAGAGTAACAAGGACTCGGAACATTGTCCCCGGACTAGTCTTTTACTGTTTTGGAATGTTTTCCAGTAGAGGGACACGCCCGCCCGACTCAAGGCTACCTCGGGAGGCCGGGGCCGAGGTGCCCTCCAGGGGGCGAAGTCCCCCCAGTGGGGCCTCCCCTCCGCGAGAGGCTTGGGCCGACTGCCCCTACAAGGGCACATTGCCTCTGCCCCCATCCCCTGGAGGGGCAACGGTCGGCGGGGACTCGCATAGTGGGGGATGCATCGACCTGGAATCGGCGATACTGATGAGCGTGTTTTCCACCACCACCACCATAAGTTGGATGGGGCGGAGGAGGAGGAGGAGGAGGAGGAGGAGGAGGAGGAGGAGGAGGAGGAGGAGGAGGAGGAGGAGGACCCTCCCCTCCAACTTATGGTGGTGGTGGTGGAAAACACGCTCATCAGATACATCGCCGGTAGATGGGCGATAGGCCTCCAAGTGGCGATCCATGGGCCATTGGGGGTCGACGCCTCCCGCCCTATGCCCATCCCCACCACATCGTTGCCCCCGACCCCTGGCCGCCACCCTGCCCTTTGTGGGCCCCGGAAGCGGCAAGGCCGTTTTTTTTTCACTGCTTCCAGAAAAATGCCCCTTGGAAATGGAAGCGGCAAGAAAAACGGCGACCGGGAACGGCAACAAAAACGGCTCCAGGATCAGAACCGGAGCCCGAACCGGTCAAACAGCGGCGACGGAACCGGGAAAAGAACGGCGTCGCCACCGGCAAAGAAACGGCAGAACGGAACCGGTAAAAAAACGGCCCTGCCGTTTCCAGGGCCCACTACCCAGACCCCCGACGTCATGATTTTTTCATGACGCGCCCCCCAGAGGTCCAGACCCTTTCCCTATGACCGGTTTTTCGTCCTGAGTCGTTTTTTGACGCTCCCGAGGGCCGGTAAGGGCCCCCAGAGTCCAAAAATAATGAAAAACCTCCCGTCGTGATTTTTTCATGACTCGAGGGGGTCTGGGTTTCCAGGGCCCACTAAGCACCCTGCCCCATGGTTGAGCCTGGACTTTCCATCGGCCAGCCTGTGAGTCCGGCTTCGGCGTAGCCGGTGATCCTGGGTCGTGGAGCTCGCCCCCGGCACCTCACGGGGGGCGCGGGCAACTCGCAGCCCCGTGCAATGGTCGGCCTGTCTTCCACTCAGCTGGCCATCGGGGGCTCAGCCTGGACGGAGGTTTCGTGAGGGGGAGGTCCCTGGCGACGTCTCCTGCGCCGTCGTCTCACAGGCGGCCTCCACGGCGAAACCCGCCGAACAGGGCATCACGCATGGAGCCAGCCCGGGCAAGTTCGGCATCGACGAACGCAGTGACGGCAGGCCAGAGCTGGAGGTGGAGGAGCAGAGCTTCGGTGAGCCAGCGCAGACTTCCTGATCTGCTAGCGGTGAGCGAAGAACACATCACGCCCCCACTCGGGGTTAAGCACACTCTAGGCTAAGAGAACCAGCATCACTCCAGGCATTTTGTTTAGAAAAATATTCCAGGTCCCGGTATACGAAAAATCAACGAAGAAACAACTGCACGAACACGCAGATTCTAGATTGGTCCTGAGCGAAACTTCGAGTGCACGAAAGTTGCTCTTCTCACTGGGTGTGCGCGAACCAAGTTCGCAGTGCCATCACACCACCAGCTCCGCTTCTCCCTCCAGGCCTCCAGAGGAAGCCCCGCCCTCTGCCGACAACAGTCCATGCCTGCCTGACGGGCGCTCTCCCGCATCCCACCTCGAGAAGGAGGAGGCGGGGAGGGAGATCCATGGCGGGATGGGTAGCGGGCAGAAAACCCGCCCCCATACGAGTCAGCCCGACAAGCGAAGCCGTTTCGTTAACGCACCCAAAAAAGGAGCCGAACGGGGCAGGGCTGTTCAGGAAACGCCGAGGGCCGTTTGGTAAACGCCACTTGTCGGGTCCGAGCGGTTTCTCCTCCCTTGCACGGGGGCGGAGGGAAGCGAGCGCGTCCACGGGAGACCCCACCGGAGCCCGAGTGCCACACGCGTAGCGAACGCTTCGTCGGCGGAGTGGGCCAGCATCGGCTTCGGTCGCGAATGTGCTGAGCACAGGTGTCCAAGACAAGCAGCCCACTTCTGGCCACTGCTCGGTCGTCCATTCCCTGTGTTTTTTTCGTTTTCGTGCGTGGCTTTTTCGCCGAATGATCAAGGATGCTCCTCGATGGTCCTCGCCGAAAGAAAAATGCACACGTCCGAGCGATGCCGAGACTTTGGCACCCCCGAGGCCTCCGCACGTCCTCAGCACGTCTGAGTAGAGCCCCATCAGCTTCCGCTGCCACTCGTTCAGGGGGAAGTCGCACTCCAGGGCTGACTGCGCCATCTTGGAGAGCTGGTCTGAGGGAGCCTGCGCAGGGGTGGACCAAGACAGCGTTTTGCGTGCTCGTTTCGTTTTGAGGCGGAGGCGAAAACGGTCCGACCAGATGCCCCGGAGCAGCGTTTTGGCGCACTTTCGAAGACGTGCGCCAATGGTGGGTCCCAGAGTGAGAACAACATAAACGCGAAGAGAAAACTAAACTGATCAACGATCTGGCAACCACTATATATATGTGTATATATATATATACTTGCTTGCTTCTACATATGTGTAGCAAAAATGTTTTGGCCGTCCCCTGCGCCTGCATTGCGCTGGTGATCACCGCCTTCAACTCTTTGCGCATGACCTCGGTATTCTCGCGGTTCTGCGCCACGTAGTAAAAGCCCGGGACCTTGCCCAGGCCACCGGCCTGCGCACCCACGAGCACCGCCCCCCTCCAGGCAAACTCGATATCCACGTAGCCGAACGGCTCGTCTCGAGAGGGCATGAGACAATAGTCTGCTGCGAACTTCAAGTTATCTGCAACCCTCATGAACTCGCAACACGCAAAGACTCTGCCTCGGAATCGCGAGTCCTTCGACAGAGCCTCGAGCTTGGTTGCGGCATAGTGCCCAAAGCCATCGCCGATTGGGCCGATGATAATGACCTGGGCGTCTGGAAATGTCTCCAACAACCATGGCGCAATGTCGGCAATCAGGTCGATTCCTTTCTGTCGTACCAAACGCCCGAGCGATACGAAGATCCTGGCCTCCGGATCCACGTTGAGCCCCAACTGCTCCTGGATCTCCCTTTTCGACTCCGCTTTGGTCGTGACAAGATCCTTGGTCAACTTTGCCCGTTCCTCTTCCAGCATCGGATTGTCCAATCCCTGTATGCGCGGCACGCTCCATAACAGCGAATACGTGCAGTGGCACTCCTGGGCGTACTCTGTAAGAACGGTTTTTTGAAGGCAGACCTGCCTTCAAAAAACCGTTCTTACAGAGTAAAACATCAGACATAAAATACGAATCGGGCTTTTGTTGTTCGAAAGCCTGGTCTACTCTGTAAGAACGGTTTTTTGAAGGCAGATCTGCCTTCAAAAAACCGTTCTTACAGAGTATGCGCGGCACGCTCCACAACAGCGAATACGTGCAGTGGCACTCCTGGGCGTAGTACTCCGACACGGCGCAGATGCCCACGCCCTTCTGGTGCTCCATGACGAAGTCGAGCGCTGCCTTCTTTGCCTACCTACCAGACCACCCCAACCCAACCCGAAGACCCGAATTTCGGTTTGGGGGGGGTAAGGGTTCCATACGTGTTTTTTCGATGTTTCCCGGACACCCCCCACTGGAAATCGAGGGTAAATCTGAGCCTTCGGGTTGGGTTGGGGTGGTTTGGTGGGTGGTGATTCTTAGCACACAAGAGACGGACAGTGGGCAGGCCCCCTGTGGAGCGAGAGGCCTGGCGAAAATCTCAGAACTCGCCCTCCCCAGCTCATCCTTAGTTACCCAGCGCGTGCGTATACAAACGAGGACCACGCGCGCGCTTCGCGCGCTTAGGTAATAGCACGATCTGTTTGCAACCAAGAGTGTTCAACATTCGAGGACACAAATGGTCACACGGATCGCGGCCCTCAAGGAGCTCCACCTGCGGCCCCAGGGACTGCCCGCGACCCCCCAAAAAACCAGCCAAAAACTTCCGAATTGGGTTATTGTTTCGGGTGTCTGCTGGGGGGGGTTCAAACGTAAAACTGTTTTAAATTGTGGAGGTCCAGAACCCCCCAAAATCGTTGGGACAAAAACGATGAGTTTATATTCGGGACTTTGTTTGAGGGCTGTTCAAACGTAGGCTTGTTTTTAATTGCGGGGGGCCCCGAACCTGCCAAAAATCCAAGGAAAAACTATCGAGTTGGGCCTTTTGGTGGCTGTTCCGTTGGGCAACTCTCAAAAATAGTTTTGTTTTTAATTGTGGGGGCCCCGATCCCCCCGGGAAGCCAATGATTTTCCTTATTCCAAAAAGTTATAGTTTTTCATTGTGGGGGCCTGGACCGCCCTGGAAAACTCAGAACCCCCCCGAGATGGTTTCTTTCAATGGTTTTGTGGAGGCGTTCTCAGAAATAGTTTTGTTTTTGATTGTGGGGCCCGGAACCTCCCGAAAAACATCAGAAATAGAATACGAATCGGGCTTTTGTTGTTCGAAAGCCTCCCCCCCGAAAAACCTTGGAAACAAACGCGCAACAAAAACCCTCCGAAAAAACACCGGATCGGAGGTTTCTGGTGGGGGGTCGAGGAACTGCCACACCGTGCTGCCCAGAGTTCGTTATCTTCGAATGTGCCCCCTCTCTACCATTAGGTCGGGCCTGTACCCCTACTACGAACGGATTCTAGGCGCAAAATGAAACGTAGTCCAGCAAATAATCCAAAATTGCCAGAGAGAAATCGTCCCTCGACTATATTTCCCTACCTAGGCTCTGCCTAGAAGGGTTCTTACTGTGTTAGCTTAAAGGGGCCGGGCAGTGGAACCCGCCCCGGGTGGTTCCCCCAGGATCCGCCCCGCGGTTCCCCCAGCTACGTCCCCTTAGCTTAGCGTTGCTTATCTCATCTTAGCTTAGCCAAGCTTAACTTAGCTTAGCTTAGCTTAGCCTAGCTTAGCTTAGCTTAGCTTAACCTAGCCTAGCTTAGCTTAGCTTAGTTTAGCTCAGCTTAGCTTAGCGCAGAATTCGCATAGCATAGCATAGCATCGCATATCATAGCATAGCATAACATAGCGCAGCATAGCATAGCTCAGCATAGCATAGCATAGCATAGCGCAGCATAGCATAGCATAGCGTAGCTTAACTTAGCATAGCACAGCGCAGCATAACACATCATATCATAGCGCAGCAGAGCATAGCATATCATAGCATAGCATCGCACAGCATAGCATAACATAGCACAGCGCATCATAGCATAGCAGAGCATAGCATAGCGCAGCATAGCATAGTGTGGTGTAGACTGGATACGGAGCATTCTCAAGCACACCCGGTGAGCGAACGCGAGAACATGCGTGTGTGTGTGCCTGTGCGCAGGCAAAACAAAAATAAAATCAAGCAAAAGCAAACACAACAGCAAATCAAACGCAACAGCAACAGCAAAAGCAAAACCAAAGGCACTGCAAAGCAAACACAACACCAATGCGAACTTGTAGATGTAGATGTAGATGTAGGTGTAGGTGTAGATGTGGATGTAGGTATAGATGCAGATGTAGATGTAGGTGTAGATGTAGGTGTAGATGTAGATGTAGAGATGAGTCTCGCTGTTGATGCTGATGTAGATGTAGATGCAGGTGTAGATGCTAATGTAGCTGTCAGTGTAGATGTAGATGTTGCTTTCCTAGATGCTCCAACTCCTAGGTAGGGTCGCACTGGGATAATTTAACTAGTTTTGGAATGCTCCTCCTGTAGAGGGACAGGCCCGACTTCACTCTACCACTCGGGATGGAACTGCGGCTCCGAGAGGGCGAAACCCATGTCGAGCCAGGGCGACGAGAACGCCATGCCCCCGAAGACAAATCCACTTGCAGCGCGCCATCTGCCTCCACCTCGCCCTCCTCCTCCTCCTCCTCCTCCTCCTCCTCCTCCTCCTCCTCGTCCGCGTTTTCCTCCTCCTCCTCCTCCTCCTCCTTCTCGTCCCTCTCGTCCTCCTCCTCCTCCTCCTCCTCCTCCTCCTCCTCGTCCCCCTCCTTCATCCTCCTCCTCCTCCTCGTCCCCCTCCTTCATCCTCCTCCTCCTCGTCCACCTCCTCCTCCTCCTCCTCCTCCTCCTCCTCCTCCTCCTCCCCCCTCCTTCCCCTCCTCCTCCTCCTCCTCTCCTCCTCCTCCCTCCTCCTCCTCCTCCTCCTCCTCCCCCTTCTCCTCCTCCTCCTCGCCCTCCTCCTCCTCCTCCTCCTCCTCCTCCTCCTCCTCCTCCTCCTCCCCTCTGCCCACCCGCGCGTATATGAACGAAGGTAGCTGGGCCCTGCCCCGTGGGCCTTCGCAGAAACGCAACAGGAAAACGCAGAACGCATAGTTTTCTGGCCCGTGCTCCGGGCGACACGTGTTGAAACACATCCGTGCGCTTGCTTGGGCCGCCATTTGCCACAAAGTGGTGGACAAGCATCGCATAGTGTAGTGAACTTACGCCTGGCCCCGAGAGGATGCCGACGGTCACCAGGCGTCGACGAACCCACAGGTGCTCTCTGAAAGAGGCACGTGTTGCACGTTGCGGTCTTGCCTCCTCGGCCACTCCCTGCCCTGCGATGGCGGCAGGACGCAGCCACAAGCGACGCAAGGCACTGACACGATGAAGCCAGCGGCATACGCAGCAAAAACGGCATCATAATTGACTTCTGGAGCTCCGCGCACATGCCTTGAATCTGCGCTGAACCTCCCCTCACGCGCGGAGTGCGCGGGGCGGCGCCGGAGGCGCCGCCAGGGGAATCCAACGCGGATCCAAGGAAAACAGCGGAAAACTCTGGAAATGTATGCTTATTCAAGTTGTTCTTCTTCGACCTTCGAATTGGGGGGAAACGAGGGGTTCCGAACCGTCTTCTGGCCAACCGGCCTTCAGCATGTTAAAGCGCCCGTCCTGCACCAGGTGCTTCTGCACAATTTCAGCCGGCAGATTCCATATCTTCGCCATCGAGGTCAGGCGGCTGTCGCGTATCATGTCCGTGCTGATACCTCCCTGGTACTCGGCGTTGTGCAATATCACCAGCACCCGGAGTCGCGGGTGCAAGGGCACAGCGTACCACGGAGCCACTGCAGTGTGAAAATCCGGACAGTGGAAGACGTCCACCCTGTAGCGCACCAGCAGCGCCCCCACGGCCTGGTTCCACATGGAGAAGAAGCGCAGCACGGCACGCCGAGACATCGGGTTCGGGTAGATGGACTCCTTGGTGCGCGCCTCGAAGACAGGGTGAGACAACATCAGAAACTCCACGCGCATGCCGTCCAAACCCCCGGGCCAGAACGTGTACCGGAAGACTCTCACGGTCTCTATGCGACCGTCGACCTCGAATCGGAGGCGATCCTCCTCCACCCTGTCGCTCGACGAGTAATCGACCTTGTCGCTCGACCCGATCATTGGGTGTACCATGTAGATATCAGTAGGGTGGTGGCGGGCCACGAGATCCATGACCTTGCCCAAGCCACCAGCGATAGCCTTGCCCTTCGGCAGGTGAGGCAGCGAGTGCTCCAGCGAAGCGGCAAGGACGACGTGCTGGCTTGCCGACGCGACAACCGCACCACCAACCTCGGCGAATGATCTCTGCTCCTCGCCCTCCTCCACCATGCGCTTCCGTGTCCTGGCGTTGGAGGCGGCTGCACAACATGGAGAAAGGCCAGAAGTGCGAGGGCCTGTACAATATGTTCCCCCCCGCTTTCCCCGCTTGCCGAAACGGGCGAAGGACGGAGGCATCCACAACCACACACACACACATTCACACAAACACATTCACACACACACGCACACACACGCACACACAAGCATTTTCGCACAAACACACACACACGCACATTCACACACATTCACACACACACACATCCACACACACACGCACACATACCCACACACCCACACACCCACACACCCACGCACGCACGCACGCACGCACGCCCGCACGCCCGCCCCCACGCCCGCCCGCACGCCCGCACGCGCACAAGCACGCCCGCGCGCACGCACGCACGCACACAGAAACACACACAGTACACACAGTACACACAGTACACACACAGTACACACAACACACACACAAACATACAAACCCTACACACACCATTCCTCCACAGATAGATGTTGGGCCATCGGGCTTGGTACACATGGCCTCCCTGGCGGGCCGGGAGTCAATGTCCACCACGTCCTGGCCCCGCACCTGACCTGTGCAAGCCTGGCAGCGGTGGACGCGTTCCTTCCCGCAACGGCCCATCACTGGCGACGGGCCTCTTCCGCGCCCCGGTGAAGGCTCAGTCCTGGAGTAGTAGTCGTTGACGACGTACAGGGCCACCGGCGCTATCCTGGGAGGGCGCCCGCCAATAACCGACAGTAGACTTAAGTCGGGCCTGTCCCCCTACAGGGGGATTTTCAACGAAAAATAATACATACCCCAAAAACATTGACCAAAAAGGTCCAAAAATACAGAAAAAATAGTTCCTGGATTATTGTTGGACAATTGTTTTAGTATTTTGTTGGTATTTTTTATTTTTCGTCGAAAATCCCCCTGTGGGGGGACAGGACCGACATAACAGTAGACACATACGGTAAGCATTCTTGTTGTAAGCAATCCTGGGACACATTCTTCCCCGACCTTCGGGGTACAGGGTGCCCAAGGATATCGGCGGGTCCTTGGAGCCATCGGGGGTAGCAAATTTCCGTAAAGCGCCCGCCGGCAGGCCCAGTTCTGTCTCGCTGTGCCTACTGTACACCCACCTTTCCCGAACCCATCCGCGTACGCCTGTCTTTGGCGCAGGATGAGGCTGTCGAGAGACAAGCGTGGATGAAGCAATGAGGAGGACGACAACGAAAAAAAGAAGATATACGGTTACGAGTATATGGAAGGGAAGAGGTAGATGTGGAAGGGTGGATGATGATGATGCTGCTGATGATGACGATGATGATGATGATGATGATGATGATGATGATGATGATGATGATGATGATGATGATGATGATGATGATGATGTACGTGCGTCAGTGTGTATATATATATACACACTATAACCACGCGCGCGCTTCGCGCGCACTTCGGTTCTGGTCGTGGCCACGGAACTCGCAGTGCAAGGACTTGACGAGGAGCGCAACGGCGAGCGTGAAAACCTGACCTGACCCAACCAGACCTGTGCACAAAGCTTGTCTGGGAGAACCACGTGGAGAACTGCGACGGAACTCCGATAACGGGCGTCGTCGTCGTCGTCGTCGTTGTGGTCGTCGCCGTCGACGTTCTTCTTCGTCGTCTTCGTCGTCGATCGTCGATCGTCGTCGCCGTCGTCGTCGTCTTTCGACCGTGTCGTCGTCTTTCGACCGTGTCGTCGGCGTCGTCCCTCGTCCTCGCCGTCGTCCTTCGTTGTCGTTGTTCCCGTGCGAGGCGCGTCTTGGAGGGCTCTTCGGGGCCTCTCGGGGCCTCTTGGGTGGTCTTGAAGGCATTCTGGTGCGGAAGAACGGACTGTCCGTTTGGCCTGTCCCTTTTGGAGCCGCCTTGGGCGTCTCCTCGGGATTCTTGGGCGCCTTCAGGGCCGTCTTGAAGCCCTCTTGGGCCGCCTGTGGCCTCTCTTGCGGGATCTCGTGGTCCGTTTGACGGCTGTCTCGGGGGCATCTTCGGCCGTCTCGGAAGACGACAAATCGTACATGTCGGAAGTGCACGTTTCCCATTGGAATTTGACGATGTTCCTCTCCCGTAGCCCTCCCTTAAAGGCCGTCTATCGTGCGAGGTTCGTCTTGGGGAGCTCTCTGGGGCCTCTCGGGGGCCTCTTGGGAGCCTATTTGGATTTTTGAAGGCATCTTGGGGCGGAAGGTTCGAATTGTTCGTTTGGCCTCCCCCTCGTGGAGCCGTCTTCGGGCTCTCCTGAATCGTTTTGGACGCCTCCTGGTCCGTCTTGGAGAGCTCTTGGTCCAACCGTCGGCTCTTTGTCAGGTCTTTTGAACCGTGCGGTGGCAATCTTACAAGCCTCTTGGGCCGTCTTGGAGCGTCGGAAAACAGAACAATCACATGTACTGAACATGTGCGCTTTTACGCTGGAATTTAACGACTTCCCCCTCGCCGAACCCTCCCCAAGCAGCCGTCTAGCGTACGAGGCGCGGCTTGGGAGGGTTTTTGGGGACATCATGGGACACCTGGGGCGTTTTTTGGAAACCTCTGGGGCCGGCTTGGACGCTGGGAAGGAGAATCAAGCGAATATGCGAAAAAAGTACCTCCTAAAGGAATTGGGCGATTTTTAGTCTTTGGGGGCTCCCTTAGGGGGCGTTCTGGAGGCCTCTTGGGGCGCCTTGACGCTTCTTGGACAATCTTGGGGTCTCGTGGGGGTCTCCGGAAACCTCTGAGGGGCCTCTTGGGGGCTTGAGCTTCCTGGGGGCCTCTCCAGCGCAAGGGCGGCAAAATCCATTCGGAGCCTTCGTCCGAGGCCCCCGCTGGGGGCGGTCTTGGTGGCGTCTTGGGGGTTTGGGCGCTTCTTGGGACGTCTTAGAACCCTCTTGGGGACCTCCGGGGCGTTTGTCGGAGACTTCTGGGGCGGTCTTGGACGCTGGGAAGGCGAATCAGGCGAATATGCGAAAAAATTAGCCTGGCGAAAGACCAAACCATAAGCAATTGTTAATACCGCAATTGTGGGCATCATCTTCGGTGGAGCTCCCTCTCGGGCCACGAACCGTGTGAGGGGTGCGCCAAAATGGGGCGGGGCCGCCATGCGGACCCTGCCACTGGGGCCTTCGGTGGAGCTCCCTATGGGGCCACGAGCCGTGTGAGGGGTGCGCCAAAATGGGGCGGGGCCGCCATGCGGACCCTGCCACTGGGGCCTTCGGTGGAGCTCCCTATGGGGCCACGAACCGTGTGAGGGGTGCGCCAACATGGGGCGGGGCCGCCATGCGGACCCTGCCACTGGGGCCTTCGGTGGAGCTCCCTATGGGGCCACGAACCGTGTGAGGGGTGCGCCAACATGGGGCGGGGCCGCCATGCGGACCCTGCCACTGGGGCCTTCGGTGGAGCTCCCTATGGGGCCACGAACCGTGTGAGGGGTGCGCCAAAATGCGGGGCCGCCATGCGGACCCTGCCACTGGGGCCTTCGGTGGAGCTCCCTATGGGGCCACGAACCGCGTGAGGGATGTGCCGAAACAGAGACATGCGGAGGGCAGAGGCAAGGGGGAGGGAGGGGGCAGCGGGAGGAAGGAGGAACGCGGGGCACTGTCTCTTCAAAACGAGGACCCAACACCACAGGATGGTTGGGAAATACTTCCTACAGGAATTTTGCGATTTTTGCTGCTGGGGGCTCCCTTAGGGGGCGTTCTGGAGGCCTCTTGGAGCGTTTTGACGCTTCTTGGACTGTCTTGGGGTCTCTTGGGGGTCTCCGGAAACTTCTGAGGGGCCTCTTGGGGGCTTCCTTGAGCTTCCTGGGGGCCTCTCCAGCGCAAGGGCGGCAAAATCCATTCGCAGCCGTCGTCCGAGACCCCCGCTGGGAGCGGTCTTGGTGGCGTCTTGGGGGTTTGGGCGCTTCTTGGGACGTCTTAGAACCCTCTTGGGGACCTCCGGGGCGTTTGTCGGACACTTCTGGGGCCGTCTTGGACGCTGGGAAGGCGAATCACGCGACTATGCCCAAAATTTCGTTTTCCGGAGGAAATGGGACGATTTTTGCTGCTGGGGGCTCCCTTGGGGGGCGTCTTCGAAGCCTCTTGGCGCATCTTGGGGGCATCTTGGGGCCTCTTGGGGGCTTCTTGTGGGCTTCTTGCGGGCCTCGGGGGTCCTCTTGGGGCGGGGGGCTCGAAATTACAGTTGGACTTCCCCATCTTGGGCTCCTCTTGGGCCCCTTCGGGGGCCCGTTTGGGCCGTTTTGGGTGCTTCTTGGGCCGTCTTGGAGCCCTCTTGGGCTGTCTTGGGCCCCTCTGGGGAGCCTCTTGGGCCGTCTTGGGGCGGTCTTGGGAGCCTCTGAGGTCGTCAAGAACGGTACGACAGCGAAAACATTCAATCTCCTAAAAATATATACGCTTTACGCAAGGGAATGGGGCTATGTTTGCCCCTTGGGGCTCTCTTGGGGGGCCTCTTGGGGTGTCTTGGGGGTTCCTGAAGCGGTCTGGAGGCCATCTTGGGCGTCTTGCAGCGGCCAGTGGGCGTCTCGGGTCTCTCTTGGAGCGTCTTCGGGCTCTCTTTGTGCTTTCTGGTGGCCTTTTGTGGGCCTCTGGGGCCCAGGTGCGCCGTTATATGTATATCTTTGTCTATATGTTCATAGTTGTGTGTATATATATATATATACACACTCGCACATGCACCGTTCATTTGCTAGCGTATGTACATGCAAGTATGCAAGTAAGTGCGTTCGTTTGGTGTAGATGACCGGAAGGAAAAAGGAGACAAAGGGGTGCCATGAGGGGCGATGAAGGTGAAGACGAGACAGGCAATGAGGAGGAGGACGAGGAGGAGGAGGAGGAGAAGAAGGAGGCGGAGGCGGAGGCGGAGGAGGAGGAGGAGGAGGAGGAGGAGGAAGAGGAGGAAGAGCTGGCACCCCCGACGTCCAGAAGAGGAACAAGATCATGGCCGCCACGGGCGTCCGCGGTCCCGAGCTCGCCACGACATCTTCGAAAAATACCGGGTCCGAGTCCGCGTCCCCAGGCTCCGGGTCGGCCCCGATCTCCTGAGGGCAGGCAAACCCCTGGCCCCCTCCTCCTGTTCCTCGCTCCGCCTGGTTCTGGTTGTGAAAACCCCGAGCGGGCAGTTCGTTTCGGCCTGCACTGTGCAAAGCAGGTCCTGGTACGTTCCCCCTTCGAGCGGCACCGACGGCTGTGACAAATCCAGCACCGAATGGCCGGCTGGGAGACAGCGCTGTCGGTCGCGCCCCTGCCTGTTCCTCCACGAAATACCTCCCGCCACCACGCAGATGGGGAGGGGAAGGAGGGAGGGGAAGGGAAGGAATGAGGAAGGGAAGAGGGAAAGGACGGAGGGAGGGAGGGGGGGAGGAAAGCAAGGACGGAGGGAGAGAGGGTGGGGAAGACAGGAAGAGAAAGGAAGTCGGGAACGGCAGAGGGGAAAAGACGAGCAGGCAAAGAGCCCCCGGCCGAACATGGCCCTAAGATGGCCCAAGACGGCCCAAGAGGCCTCCAAGAGGGCTTCCAGGAAGGCCCGAAAAGGCCCAAATTATCGATTTCCCATGGGATTGTGGCATTTGCTTTTTTCTGCCTTCCGACGGCCCGCGACGGCCCAAGTGCCCCCAAAGATCGCCCAAAAGGCCAAAGACACGGCCCCAAGAGGCCCCCAAGACGGCCCAAGAGGTCCCCAAGACGCTCAAGATGGCCTCCAAGACGGTCCAAGAGCCCTCCAAGACGTCCTCCCAGAAGGCCCGAAAGGGTCAAAATGGCCTCCAGACGGCCAAGATGACCTTCAAGATGCCCACGTGTTCCCCGAAGGCTTTCCAAACTGATTCGGGGAACACATGGTCCGATAGCTTTGCAAGTCTGGCCTCGAGGCAGGGGGCGGCGGTGATTCGCCGTAGGCGCCGACGAGGAGGAGGAAGCAGAAGGGGGCAGCAGGCTGGACGATATGGGGCGTCCGACCCAGACCCACGACGCCTTGATGTCTGCACAACGTCGACCCCCAGAGGTCTCGACGCATTCTTGGCGGCGCGCACAAGGGGGTGGAGGGAGGGTGCAGGGCTTCTTAGAAGGAGGCTGCGTCTTAGAAGGCGCCGGCCTTGCAACTACAGATAAGGCCCGCGCCTTCTAAGAAGCAGGGGTGCTTCTAAGAAGCCCTCCCCCCTCTCCCCACCCCCCTCTGCGCGTGGCTGACATTCCCCAGGACTGGCCTTTCATCCTGAGTCGTTTTCTGACGGCCCCGAGGCCCAGTGAGGGGCCCAGGGGCCGAACATAGCGAAAAACCGCCCGCCGTGGATGTCGCCATGATTCGGTGGGAACGCCCGACCAAGCACCGACGAGGCGTCCGAGAATGCCCGGCCGAGAGGCTCAGAGCTTATGAGGAAAATCCTGGCGGCCTCGCGCGGCAACTTGAGACCCGATCTATGCCGTATCTACGTCGGATTTAGGTCAGGTTCACGTCGGAGCTAAGGCCTGTACGTCGGAGCTACGTCGGATCTAGCGGACTGACTCCGGAGCGTCGCTGCGGGAGCGTCGACCCATAGCTTACGGCGCTGACGTGTGGACCAGATAAAACTGCTATTACGCGCCGCGCGAGGCCTCCAGGGTTTTCCTGATCACCCAAACCCCTGACGTCATGTTTTTTTCATGACGCGACACCCAGAGGTCCGGACCCATCCCCTGGGACTGGCTCTTCATCCTGCAGTCGTTTTTTGACGGGCCGAGGGCCGGTGATGGCGCCCCCAAATGACCAGCCTCGAGCGTATCCCTATCCCTAAGATTGACACGCCAAAAGGCGATGACAATCTTAGGGGTTCGCCCTCAAAAAAGAAGGGGAATCCCTAAGATTGGCATCGTGATGCGGAGGTGCCCAGCACAGGGATAGGGACATGCTCCAGGCTGGCAGCCAGAGGCCGAGAATAGCGACAAACCTCCCGTCGTGTTGTTTTCGCAGCGCGAGGGGGTCTGGGAACAGTCGGGAGCGGCCAAGAGAGGGGGGGCCAAGAGGGGGGGGTGCAAATCATGACCGGCGGCATGTGCGCGGCCCAGCGGGGGGGCCAGGGACGTAAGGAAATAAGAAGAGGCGCCATGAAATCTGGGGAAATCTCATGGCCGACGCCATGATATCCACCCCCCCCCTAGTCATCACCCCCTCTTTTCCGCCCCCGACCCCCCTCCCCCCTGCCCCCCTCGGCGCGTGGCCGAGCACCCTGCTGCGGCCCCCGATGCCGCTCCCCAGTCCGCGCGGCCCGGCGGCTCGAGCCCGGGGGCTGCCGAGCGCTTTCTTCGGGTGGAGGGCAAAGGGTGAAATCTGCAATGCCGTTTGGATAGGTTCTCATCACCCCCCTCTTTTCCGCCCCCGGAACAGAGCGCCCGCGCGGAGCTCCTGGCCCGGGCAGGGCTTCCCGTCGCACCCGGCGGCCGGGGGCGCCGCGCCGACCAGGCCCGCCAGCAGGGCGGCGACGAGGGCGCCCAGGAGGGCCCGCCTGCCGCGGGGGGGGGGCCCTGAGATCCTGGCGCTGCAATTCGGTCGGGCATGTCCTCCTACAGGCTGATCTTCGAGGACAAATAAGAAACACTCCACATCTATGTACATATATATATATATACACATATATATACTAGAACCATGCGCGCGCTTCGCGCGCGCTTCGGTTCTAGCCAAGCTCAGGGACGGGTATTGCTGTGAAGCTATATGCACGAGGACATATGGAGTCAACGAGAGGGGGACAAGGGAGGAGGGAAGCCTCAGTGTGTTTATTTGGGGCGTCGGATGGCCGCGGCCGATACTACTTCCAATAGAATGAGCGGGTTCGCGCAGAGTGAGGGCGTACAAGGCAAGGCGCACAAGAGGGATGATGCAGAGCAGGGCTTGGCAATGCGAGGTCCAAGCAATAGCCCACGCGAGGAAGGTGCACGACGCGAGCACCGCTGAGATATCCAAACACTTTGGAGGTGGTGTGGCCCTGCCCCGTGGTGGTCCGGTCGTTTTCGCCTATGACATTCTCGCAGCTCGGGTTTCCGATATGCCCTGCGCTGAGGTGGTGTGGCCACCTTTGCCTGAGGCATCTTCGCAACCCTGACCTCTGAGATGCCCTGCCTGATTGTGGTCATTGCTTCTCGCCTGAGACAGCCCTGCAACTGTGGGTGATGAGATGCACTGAGCTCAGGTGGTCAGGCCACTTCCTGGATTCCGAGATGCCCTGAGCTGAGGTGGTCAGGACACATTGGCCTGAGATATCCTTGCAACTCTGACCTCATGCCCTGTCCTACGGTGGTCCAGCCACGCTCGCCTATGACATCCTCGTAAACTGTGGACTCTGAGATGTCATGAGCTGAGGTTGTCATGTCACCTCCGCACGACGACGACGACGACGACGACGACGACGACGACGACGACGACGACGACGACGACGACGACGACTACGACGACGACGACGACGACGACGACGAACGAACTCGGCGACGACAACTGGCCATCCGGGGTCGTCCTGGAGGCGTCTGGCGCTCCTCACTGAAGCATCTGAACAGTTCGTTCGGATCTCGTGGCAGGTCTCTTGGGGGGCTCCTGGAAGCAGTTCCGAGGCTCGGGGCCGAGGGCCCAGAAAGTCCGTTCGGATCCCCCGTCTGGGCCCCTTCTTAAAGCCGTCTTGGGGCCCTCTTGGGCCATCTTGGGTGTCTCTTGGGCCGTCTTGGGTCCCTCTTGGGTTATCTTGGGGTCTGTTGGGCCCTCATGGGCTGCGTTTAGGCGGTCTTCGGGGCTTCTTGGACTGTTTGGAGCGTCAGAAAAGCGAAAAGGTGCTTCTGCTAAAAATGTACGTTCCCAAAGGAATTGGAATTTGTTGCCCTCTTGGAGGCATTTTGATAAGCCTGTGGGAGGCACCTTGAAGCGTCTGGGCGCGTTCTTGCGACGCCTTGGGGCCATCTTTTTTGTTGTTGCCCTTACGGTTCGCTTCACCCATCTCGCGTTGCCAATCTCGCTTCGCTGGGGTCGCGCCGGGCGGACAGACCCGGCGAACCCGACTTCAGAATGAACGCGCAGGTTATCATACGAGCGGGCAGGACATGACACCGAGCGGGATTCAGAAGAGGACAATTGAGCTAGCACGGGCTACATTTCGGGTCACTGCCGCTACAACAATACCCACTTGTGCACTCGCCCGTATATCCCCATCCGCACTTATATCCTGGAACAACCTTATCACCCACACAGCAAGTTTGAAACTTCTCGTACATCCAGACAGAAATTATGCCATACTCCCTTATGCAGCAGTAAGTGTTTGCTTGAGGGCACTCCAACTCACAGCTCGTGGTTTGGAGATGCATGTCGCCAGGATGTTTATGCTGGCGATGCATGGTAAAGTTGAGGTTCTGGACATCGATCGGTGTATCCTCCACTCTCGCCTCCTCAGATTGTTTGTGGTCCGGCGTCTCGTCCTTCCAAATGTTCGCGATTTGCGTTTCGCTGGGGCCCGGCGTCCGTGACTGGAGTAGCCCCACGCCGTCGGCCTCGTTCGTGGCGTCGCAGTTGTGCGAATCGTCCTCCATCAGGCAGCGTTCCTCCGAGGTCTTGACTAAGTCGTCGGCGGCAACGCAGCCGCGGCCGACGAGCAGGATGGCGAACGCTCCCGCAAGCACCACGACGTTCATTGCGGCAACGGCGGAGTAACAGGGGCTTGGCAGCAATAGGCGCAAACCAAATGTCCCCTATTCCTGAAGAGTTGCCACAATGTTTTGAACCAACATGGTTACGGAGCGCCTTGGGGCCATCTTGGACGTCTTGGGGCGATGGTTCGGTGACTCTCTGGGCTGCATTGGACCGTCTTGGAGCCTTTTTTGGAGCCCTTTTTCAGCACGTTTCGGGACTGGTTTGGGCCGTCTGTGAGTGCTCCCGGAAGCCGTGACACGCCATGCCCCCGGTGGTCCCTTGGCCCGTCCAGGCGGCCTCCTCCCCCGGTATATATATATATATATATATACATATATACACATTTTCTTAACAAGAAAAAGCCCAAATATTGTAATCAAAAGATCGTCCCCGAACTATTTGTTGATTATTTTCCGATCTGCCTCCTGTAGAGGGACATGCCCGACTTGACGCTGCAATTTTTGTAGCACGGGCGTTTTCGCACAGTGTCGGGCCCCATGACCCTCACAGATCGATGGCTCGCAAAACGACGCAGGCTGATGGGGTCCAGGGCTTCGGTCGCGATGTTTTGCGATGTTGCCTTTTTTTGGCTGCGCCGGATCTCAGGTTTTGGCTGCGCCGGATTTCAGGCTTCTGAAACGAAGCCAGGACGAAAGTACATTCGGGTGGGGACAAATCGGAAATCTCTGCGATCTGGCGGCTCCGGAGAGTGTCTCGGGCAGCGCGGCCTTCTCAGAGCGCTCCCGGACGCTCGGAGAGAGTTCCAGAACAAACTGTAACGCACTCGTCCTCGTCCGAACCCCGTCCGATAATCGGCCCCTGACTCCAAAAACATGACTGCGCATGTTGGCCATAAATGGGCGACCCTCTGCGGCGATGTGCTGCATGGTGAACCGTGAGCCACCTCTACGTGGCAGGGGGGGAGGCGCTGGGAAGGGGCACGCCACTCCTGGAGCACGCACCTTGCGCCGATTTGTGGCCGGCCGCCACGATCGCCGCGGCGGTTCCCCAAACTGACCTGGACGTTTGGTTCGGGGCCGGATGTCGCGCAAAAACTTGCGCAGGAGCCGACCGTCCCGGCGTTCCTATCCGCCTTCCACGAACCCCCCCTAAAATGCTCTCATAACCAGAACGCTGTTCTTAGAACGTACAAACCCGACGTGTCAAAACAGGACGGTCTCGGCCAGAAAAGTCCGAATCACCCTTCGTGCAGAGGACTTGGGTAGCTTAGAACGCTCTTTGGTGGGCCGATAGGCGAGCCAATGCTCGAACAACTGAAGGCCCCTCGCTGCGACAGCGAAGACGCGGACGGCGGAGCCGACAACGGGCGTCGCCCCGCCGTCGATGTGCCGCCGTCTCCGTCCGCGGAAGGCGGCGACCGGCCTCGTCCCTCTTGACCGCCCCTCTACGCTTAGGTCGGGCATGTCCCCCACAGGAGGATTTTGGACGGAAAAAGAAAATTGGCAAAAATACTCCAGAATGGTCTAACATAGTCGATCAATCGTCCCCCGACGATGTTTCTATTATTTTTGCATATCCCTCCTGTAGAGGGACACGCCCAACTAACCCGGGGCACCACGCCCTCTCGGCTGAAGGCAAATATTGCGTGGGCGCACCCGGCTTGTCCTTTTCATGCAGCTCTCCCATGCTGCTCCTACTATGCATTTCCTCCTCGCCCTCTTGCCTCCTCCGCCTCCGCCGGCAATAAACCAATGCAGCACCATGAGTGCTACTCTCCTCTCTTCCTTCTCCTCCTCGCACTATCCTCCTCCTTCTCCGTCTCCTCAGTCCCATCTTCCTCTTCCCACGTTCCTCCTCCTCCGCCTCCTCGGACTCCTCCTTCCCCTCCTTCTCAGCCTCCCCCTCCTCCTCCTCCTCCTCCTCCTCCTCCTCCTCCTCCTCAGTTCCTCCTGATTCCTTTCCCTAATCGTCCTTCCTCCTCCTACCTCTCTTTTCTCCTCCTTCCCTTCCTCTTTTTCTATTTTGATTATCTCTCTCACACTCTCTCTCTCAATCTCTCTCTCTCTCTCTGCTCCTCCCTTTCCCCTTCGAAGTGGACGAAAAGGGAGGGGGGGAGCCTAGCGAGACAGAGAGAGAAAGAGAGAGAGAGAGAGGAACAAAGAAAAAGCAGACACGACGACGACGGCGGCAGTGTCGACACCGAGGCTGACGCCACCGCCGACGACGACGGCGACCTCGGCGGCGGCGACGCCGACGTGGATGACGCCGCCGACGGCAACGACTGACGCCGCCGACGGCAACGACAACGACGCCAACGCCAATGGCGACGGCAGGGCTGACTACGACAACGGGGGGATCATGTCGCTTTTGATGATGATTATTTTGCTCTGCTTTTCGGCGCTTTTGGTTCTGGTTGGGCCTCTGGATGCTTCTGGTGGCCGTCCTCCTCCAAAGGACAAAGAATCCTTCTGGTCGTCGTCGTTTTCCTTGTCGCCGCCGTCGTGGGATGCCGTGGACGTCTCCGCAAGTCTCATGGGGCCTCCAGAAGGCCTCAGGAGATCGCCAGAGACCCCTCGCAAGCTCCCGCCCACGCCCTCCGCCACGGGGCGGCGGGGGAACCAGGAGGAGGGGGGCCGAAGGAGGAGACGGAGGAGAAGAAAGAGGAGTAGGACAACTCAACACGGAGGGTAGGAGGAAGGCCGCACGATGACGAGCAAGAAACCTGGCGGTCCTGCTGGAGCTCGGCCCGCGCCGGCCTCCCTCGCCCGTCGCCCGGCGGGCGAGGGGCGAGGAAGAGGAGGAGGAGGGAGGAGGAGGAGGAGGAGGAGGAGGAGGAGGAGGGAGGAGGAGGAGGAGGAGGAGGAGGAGGAGAGGAGG